GATGATGATGATGATGATGATGATGATGATGATGATGATGATGATGATGATGATGATGATGATGATGATGATGATTACGATGCTGATCATGATGAGGATGATGAGGATGAGGAGGAGGAGGAGGAGGAGGGGAGGAGGAGGAGGAGGAGGATGCTGATGATGATGATGAGGAGGAGGAGGAGGAGCAGGAGGAGGAGAGGAGGGGAGGAGGAGGAGGAGAGGAGGAGAGAGAGGAGCAGAGGAGGAGAGGAGGAGGAGGAGGGGGAGGAGGAGGAAAAGGAGGAGGAGATCGAAGAGGAGGAGGACTGTGGAGGAGGAGGAGGAGATGAGGAGGAGGAGGAGGCGGAGGAGGAGGAGGAGGAGGCAGGGGGAGCATCAAGGATGAGGAGGATACGGAGGAGGCGGAGGCAGAGGAGCGTGAGGAGGAGGAGGATGATGATGATGATGATGATGATATGATGATGATGATGATGATGATGATGATGATGATGATGATGATGATGATGATGATGATGATGATGAGGAGGAGGAGAGGAGGAGGAGGAGGAGGAGGAGGAGGAGGAGGAGGAATAGGAGGAAGTGGAGGGGAGGAGGAGGAGGAGGAGGAGGAGGAGGAGGAGGAGGAGGAGGAGGAGGAGGGGAGGAGGAGGAGGAGGAGGAGGAGGAGGAAGAAGAAGAGGACCGAGGATCGATGAAGCGGGACGAGGACGGAGGCAGGAGGAAGGACGGGTGGGGGGAGCGAGAGAGAGAGGGTCGAAGAGGATGTAGAATCGAGGGCGGGAGGATAGGGGGGAAGGGGGAAGGCACAGCAAGCTCCACAGGGCTCCTCCCAAGGTGCAGCCAGATGTCTCCCCGACGCAGCGCAGCCAGCGCAGCGCTGGCTCTCTGCCGCCGACGCAGGAGATCCTCTGCAGCCGGCGCGGCTCCGGCGCCCACGCGCCCCCGCAGGAAGCGGCCCGAGGCGCCGCCGCGCCGCCGACGCAGCGGCTGCCGGTCTCGCCAGAAGAGGCGCAGCAGCCGACGCAGCGGCTGCCGGCATCGCCGCAGCAGCCGACGCAGGTCGAGGAAGAGTAAGCGGCATGAACACAGGTTTTTGGAGCTCCGCGCGGGTTTCTTGGATCGGCGCCTCCAGCGCCGCCCCAGGTGCGCTCCGCGCGCCAGGGAAGGGGGGGGCAGGGACGATCCAAGAAATCCGTGTGGCGTCCTACAGTTTACGCTCAAGTCTGCCGCTTTTCCTTAGTCTAGCAGGAGCCAGCGGCATCGCTGCAGGAGGTACAGCAGCCGACGCAACGATTGGCGGCATCACCGCAGCAGCCGACGCAGCGACTGGCGGCATCGACGCAGGAGCCGACGCAGCGGCTGTCGGCTTCGCCAGAAGAGGCGCAGCAGCCGACCCAGCGGCTGCCAGCATCGCCGCAGCAGCCGACGCAGCGGTTGGCGGCATCGCCGCAGCAGCCGACGCAGCGGCTGTCGGCTTCGCCAGACGAGGCGCAGCAGCCGACCCAGCGGCTGCCAGCATCGCCGCAGCAGCCGGCGCAGCGGCTGGCGGCATCGCCGCAGCAGCCGGCGCAGCGGCTGGCGGCATCGCCGCAGCAGCCGGTGCAACGATTGGCAGTATCGCCGCGGCAGCCGGCGCAGCGGTTGGCGGCATTGCCGCAGCAGATCCCACAGGAGCAGCCACAGGGCTTGCCTGGCACGGCGCCGCGCGCTGGGGGGCGCCCAGGTTCTGGCCCGCTCCTCGCACGCCCTGCGCCAGAGGCAGCCCCCCCCGCGCGCGCGGCTTGCGCGCCGCCGTTGGGAGCTCGTCGGCGTGATGCTTCTTCGTTTCTTCCGGTGGCCTGGCGTTTGTTCAACAGCAGCTCGCGGATGGCTTCCCCACGGCGGCGAATCACGGATGTGCTGGTTTTTTGCTCCCCCAGTGGCAGGGCGCACGGGGTCGAGAGCTCTGGCCACCGTTTTTCCCAGCGTCTTGGTGCCTTCGCGCTCCACATCTCGCGGGGGGCGCCGTCGTCGTCGCCGTCGCCGCCGTCGACGTCGAGGGCTTCGGCATCCGCGTGGCGATAGCATTGAGCGCGCGGTAGGAGGAGGAAGAGGAGGAGGAGGAGGAGGAGGAGAAGGAGGATGGGACGGTTCTTTAGGAGGGGGGCTGAGGTCGTCTCTCATCATCGGGCGAGGGGCAGCGTGAAATCAGGTTCTCGATCGCGGGTGCGCGTGTCCCAGGGCGGCTCAAGTCGCTCCAGAGTGCGACCCGCCCAGTGTCCGCTCGGCCCACCGTGACTGCCTGTGGCGCTCGCCGGCAAAGGTGTCCTAGCAGTGCAACACGCAGCTTCTGGCCGCCTTGTGGCACTTGTCGAGCTGCCTTTGGCACGCCCCGCCACCTTGCCAGCGGAGCACTCGGGTGCCCACCGGTGGGGTCGGGCGGCTCACACCGCACGTTCACGCACTGGCCTCCTCCGTCTCCCGATGCGCTCCTGCTCCTTCCTCGTCTTCCTCCCTCTCC